AGGGGCAAGGAACAGAAAATAAGAGGAATCATGATATAGCACATGCAGGTACAAATTCCCCATGATGAATGTGATCATTATACTTATCTAAATGGTACTCATAAAATTAGTAATAAAAAGAAACAATTCAAAAGAAAACAATTATAAGCATGTAGCCACTGATTATCAATGTACCCAACTTTATAAAGCAAACTCTCCAAGACATGAAACATCAAACACCAACACAACCAGAGTGGAAGATCTCAAAGCTACACTTTCATAAACAGATCAACTAAACAAATGGACAAAAAAATCAACAAAGATATACCAAGGTTGAATCACACCAACAAACAAGTGAACCTAAAGCTTGCTTAAATAAATGCTAAAAAACAGAAATTATCTCATCCATACTATCAGCTCATAGTACACTGCAACTAGAAATCCATGACAAAAGAATATAAATTCTGCAAACACATGGACATTAAATGACATACTCCTTACCAATTAATGGTATATGGAGGAAATAAAAGAAATTAAACAATTCCTAGAATCAAATAATAACGCCATGAGAAGAAAGCAGAAACTATGCAACCCAACGAAAGAAGTCCTAAGTGGGAAGTTTACTGCTATAAATGCCCATGTCAGAAAAAGAGTGATCCTAAATAAATAACTTCATGATACACCTCAAGGTTCTAGAAAAACTGGAGAGGGCTAAAGCCAAACCTAGTACAAGGAAAGAAATCACAAAGATCAGTGTGGCAATTAATGATTGAGATGAATACAAAACAAACTCCAAGAATCAATGTGCTGGTTCTGTGAAAGAATAAAAGACAAACCTTTGGCCAATCATATCAAAAGAAGACTCATACCAATGCAATTAGAAATGAAAAAAGTAAAATCATTACATTGCTGAAATACAAGATTACTGGTAAATACTGTTAACAAATTTATGTTTCAAGAAATGGGAAAATCTAGAAGAAATGGATTCCTAGACATGTATGGATTACCAAAGCTCAATCAAGAAGGATAAGAACTCTGAATTGTACAGTAACAGGCAGTGAAATAAAATAACAAAAACTCTACTAATAAAAATCCAGGACTCAATGGATTTATTGCAGAATTCTTCAAGAATTCAGGGAGGATCTAATGCCAATATTCTTTGAACTCTTCAATGAAATAAAAAGGGAAGGAGTACTGTAAAACTCACTCATGGAAGCTAATATGACCATCATACTGATGTAGGACAGCAGAGAGTGGCAAAGCTGGCAGAATAAATAGGTGGGACCTGTTAATTTCAAGATCCCAACACATGCATAGAACAGTTCCGAAAGCCCTGCAAGCGGGCTTCTCAAGAAAACTGCAACAGATTTTCAATAGGACAGCCTAGAGCTGATGCCAGCCTGAGATGTAGAATACTAGCACTCTGCTCTCAGAATCTATATGTAAAGTTCTTTCAGAATTTCTCAAGATTTGGACAGTATAACAGGAGAGGCAAACCATGAAGAGCTTGGTGTCCCAACTGACTTCATGGCATGGGAGCATGGTATCAGCACAAAAACAGGTATGAGGATTAACAGAACAGGAGAGACAGAAACAATTCAGGCACACCAGCCATTGCACCTATTTTTATGCTGATACCATGCAGGTTTTTTAATCACTGTTACTCTGTAGTATAACCTGAAGACTGACATTGTGTTGTCTCCTGTTTTGTTCTTGTTGCCCAGAATTGCTTCTGCTATTCTGGGGCTCTTGTGATTCCATATAAATTTTAGGATTTTGTTTTTTAGTTTTGTGCGGAATTTTGATCGAGTATTAGCTATTCTCAATAACCACATTAGTAGTGGTATTATTAGAACTATTATTCTGAGACTGTTCTGTGTTTAATACAGGATAATTAGTTATAGGATATTCAAACTCCATTATCCCATATCCCTGACACCAAGGCTCTGAGTATTAAAAGACAGCAATTATTTAAAAAATTAACTAAACATTTTGTTACCCTAAGTTTGAATCCAGGGCCAGGGAGATGGCTCAGTGACATAAGTGCCTCCTGGCAAGCGCAAGGCCCAGAGTTCAATCCCCAGTACCAAAAGAAAAAAGTCACTAAATTTGAATCCGAAGTATCAATATATTTTCATGTTTAACTTTAAACATATATATTTTAATCTCTAAAAATATAATAGAAAGTCATATATGTATGCAGTACTTACAAAAATATCTTCATCTTTATTCATAAACTTACAAATAACATACGTTTACACACAGAGAGCGTGAGATCCTAATTTCTAAGCTTCTGATCTTGAAATAATACTGCCAATTTACGGACAATTTAAGTATCAATTTAATTAGAATTGCATTTTACCAAATGTTTGAAACCCAAATGTTTAAATAACTTAGTTAATACTGAGATAGTTAGGGACCACACAAAAGTGAACAGAAAATCAAATGTCAGTAAGGAGCTTGTTCTGCAGTTTCACAGCAGAACCAAACAAAGTAATAAGTGGAGAGCCTTGGTTTACATGCAGACTCAAGAGTTAAAAACACAACAGCTACAAATGTCCTAAAAGACAGGCCAAGGGTCAGCCCAATGAACATTTTTCCTTGCCCTAGTAATTGAAGCTGACCAATGAGCTGCCTATAACAGAGCTCAGGCAGGACAGACACTCTACAAGTTTGAATTTCTTATATGCAGGAAGACTTGAATGAAAACTTTTATAGGGAACCTCTTGTGTATTACCCTCTTCCTTTTTACAGAAGCCACTGGCCTGATATACTCTTAGTCACTGGTATATTTCCTTTCTGCCTCAAGCAGAAATCTCATTAAAAACCTTGCCTGTGCTTATACTGCTCTGGGCTTACTCTTGTTTCTCCTCTTTCTGTACCTAAGAATCCAGTCCTGGTATCAATAGTAATACTTTAAAAAAAAGAAAAAGTGGTTACCCTCAAAGGATGGTAGTTTGTCTAGAAAACTGGTAAATGAAATGAAAACTGCAAACATTCTTTCCTTATTTTTCCTATAGAAATTACATAATCAAATAGTAAATGAGAAGTACATATATATCTCAGTTACTAAGTTGGTAAGATATCACCGTTTTGCAGTCTTCAAAGATTTAATGCCTCTGGTAATAAAAAAGCAGTAGAAAAGAATCCAGATCCTGTGTAAAAAAAAAAAAAAAAAACAAAAACAAAAACAAAAACCACAATACTCTATGTGGAATATCGCCTGAACAAGACCTCCGTTAGAGCGTCGTCCTCGTTAGTATAGGGGTGAGTATCCCCACCTGTCAAGACCGCCATTAGTCTTATCAAAATTTTATATCTGGGTCTGATCAAGCCTCTGTATCCAGCTGCTCATCTGCAGGAAATGATGAACTACAGTAAGAATATGCAAATTGCCAAATACATACTGTAGAGAAACAACAGGTACAACTGCTCAGTTTCTTCACCAGATGAATTGCAAGGAAAGGACAAAGGAGGAAAATTTTGGAAAAAGAGACATGCTAGATAAAAAAAGAGTAGAGTAGGGCTAAACTGTAATGCTTCAGTAAACATAATTTGCTAGTAATTCTATGAGGAAATGTAAGCAGGTGATCACTATAAGTCAGGACAATGGTAACTCCTGAGAAGAGGGTAAACATTATTATTGGCTATGGCATATGAAGAGGGTTCTGGGCAAAGCAAAAAATGCATGACCAGGGGTTAAAACGTCTTGTAACAGTTCATTAGTACACTGTTCATATAGTGTTATCTATTTCTTTTTAGTAACAAAAGATTTCTTTAAGAAGTAAATTTACGAGTAGAGAGCCACTCAATTTATTTGTTATTTCCAAATGGCACAAGGAATTCAACATCCATTCCCACTAGAATCAGAACAGCACAGGCTGCGGATCCAGGATTTAATGACCTCAGATCCTTAGAATCCTTTAGTACAGGATCTGAAGAAACTGGTGTTAAATGATCTACCTGAAACAACTGTTTTAGCATGAAGCCTAGACCATTTCTCCACATAATATGCTAATAAGTGAATAACGCAATAAAGTGCCTAAATTTAATAATGATTTTGTAATTATTATTATTAGTAAATCTAATAATGTAATTACTAGATTTATTCAGCCAAACTCTTCATTAGGAAGGCCTGGTAAAGTTTGACTGTTAAAAATATTACTTTAGAGGCATCTCCCCTTTTACTACCTATCTTGTACACAGAACTTCTTCCTCAAAGTTCAGAGTAAGGTGAGAACAGTGATTCAAAATTGCCATCAAGTTCCCAGCATAAAACAGAGAGGCAACAGTGAAGGAGAATCTCCTTGACTCAGAAATATAATCCCCATAACTTTTTAGGTCACTAAGCACACTGTACCTTATCCTGATGTTGTAAAACAAGGGAACTTTCACTATAAGATGTAACTCAAAAAATGTGACTACAGAATTGATTTACCAAACATGTTCAAAAACTAAATTTCACTGAATACATCTAGACTGTATTAAAAAGGTAACTTTAGCATCTGTTTCAGCTCTTTAAAGATTTTGTTTCTAAGAAAGCTGTCCTCAGAGATTCAGATGGCAAAGCAAATAAATATGAAAATTTGGACCTATATAGAATAGCCATTTCACCCTATTAGTAATGTATTATTTAAAAATGCAAAAACTTCAACTTAATCAGAACTTTCATTCATTTTTATATTACTATCCACATTGTATTAAAAAAGAAAAACCTTTGAAAATGAGAAGAACATAAACCACCATGGGTTTGAACTTGTACTCAAACCATGTTCTTCTCAAGGGATCTTTCTACCTCTAAGAAAAACTGGCATTTGTCAATTACAATCACTGGGGGGCCGGGGAGATGGCTCAGTGGAATAAGTGCTTCCATGGCAAGCGCAAGGGCCTGAATTCAACACCGGTTCCACAAAAAAAAAAAAAAATTACAATCACTGCTTCTTTTGCGTACTGGCTTTAGAAAACTGAACTTTTTATCCTGTCTTTATCTCCATGCCATAAATACATGCGTCATGTCTTACCACTTATTTCAAGCTCTGCCCAATGTGATTTCTTTCCATGGGCTGCTTCCTCAGAGGACATAATTGTGTACATCCTCCGAGGGTCAGGGGGCTCGTATTTTTCTTTGGGCATGCCTAGTAAATGAAGAAAAGAAACTAATCAGAATTTTAAAGAATCAAATATATAAAACAAAACCTTTAAAAAGCAGACACACATACTATGACCTTTAAATTATTTCCCACTATAAGGCACTATGAATTCCTTGGAGAAATCAAGGATTTCAGGTCCAGGATAAGACAAATATAAACAGGCCTTGAAGCAACCAAAAGGGTGGAGCTGTGAAGGAAACAGGTGCCAGTCTGAGCTGCCTAATAAAGATGATCTGAGAAGCACAGTAATGACTACACTTGAATCCTTAGAAAAATGAATGATTTTTTTTTTCTTTTTATGCTATTGGGGATTAAATCCAAACCCTACATACCGAGCTACATCTGTAGCCCTTTTTATTTATTTATTTTTTAATTTGAAATAGGTCCTCATTCAGTTGACCAGGCTGAGCTCAAACTTATGATCTTCCTTCCAGAGCAATGGGATTATAGGCATGCACCACCATGCCTGGTTTGAATTCAAAATGTTAACTACAATAAAATCAACTATATCACCTGAATATTGGAAAACAAAAGCATCAAGCATTTATCATTCATTTCTGCCAGAAACTAGATGAGTGAGTGTTCTTTACAGAATTCCAGCTAATAAATACAAAGTTACACAATTAGATCATTATTTTATAACCATTTATGAAATAATAAATTCAAGCAATTATCATTAAGTTAATAAAACCACCACAGGGAGTAGAGGAAATTAAGGAAAAATTAAACAACGGCAAGGCAAGATCAGTCTCATCTGGACAAGAAGCCAACTCTGCAACTCTGATTGAGATGACAGGAAGCAGTATGTTCTTTACCCCTCTCCCCTAGAACATAAACAATGAATCTGAAGCCAGTAAAGTCTCTAGATCTTGGACCAGCTTAAAGGAAACAGAGGAACATATTTAAAATGAGTACAATTAATACTACATACAGAACTGTACACTTGGTTACAATGCTAATTTTAAATGTATTTTACAATTTAAAAGTCAAAAAAAATTTTTAAACCCCACAAGAATATAGCAGGCAAGATGAAAAACATAGAAAGCTATACAGAGTAAAAGATTTTATTTAAACTGATGGCATAAAAGAGAATGAAAGCAACAAAAGCAATGCTTTTGTTTTCCAATATTCAGGTGATGTAGTTGATTTTATTGTAGTTAACATTTTGAATTCAAACCAGGCATGGTGGTGCATGCCTATAATGTCTTTGCTCTGGAAGGAAGATCACAAGTTTGAGCTCAGCATGGTCAACTAAATGAGGACCTATTCCAATTAAAAATAAATAAATAAATAAAAGGGCTACAGATGTAGCTCAGTATAAAGGGTCTGGATTTAATCCCCAATAATAAATGATTTAATAGGCATAGCAAGTAAATACACTATGAATTTCAACAAACCAAGCATAAAAAGACATTTTTGAAAATCAGAGAAATTTGAGGACGAACTAAGTATTTGCTAATATTAAAGACTTATTGTTCATTTTTTTTTTTTTTAATTTTAGGGAAGGGTCTACAGGGTGTTCAGGGTCTCACTACTAGATCTAGTGATCTGCCTGTTTACAGCCTCCCAAGAGCAGGGATTACAAGTGTGTGCCACCCTGCCCAATCTCAGCACTCCCCAAGGGTGGGGCTGGCATGGCAGGCCTGGGGAATGAATCCCCAGCTCTTGCACTTGCTTGCAGGCACTTTATTTTTTTTTCCTAATTTATTTTTATTTTTTACTTTTTGACATCAGTTATTTTTATTTTAAAGAAAGAAAAAAAATAAAAAGTGGTACAAAAATCTCAAAACAAGATTTTAGGAGAGTAACAATGGTTAGTACATTGTGTATTATTATTGTCAAAATAGTTTCTCATATTACAAGATATAGGCAAGAAATAATAAGCAAACAACATAGGTACAAAC